ATACACTAATCTCAGCCAACTTTCTGATGACTTCTGATAATTTTTAAGGTTAGCCTACATTAATAGAGGGTAAGAGCGAGACTGTCATTATATTCCCCACCAGTTTCAGAACATCATAAGTATCATGTTAATTTCAGCTTCCCTTTAAGATAAACTCTTTCAGATCAAAGTGATTTTAGAGCACAAATGCACAATAAAGATTTGAAGCTATCTCCTGAGGATTAAGTAATTGAGAGAGATGAAGCAGCCAATTAAGGAATTAGTATGATTCCAGCAGCTAATTCTAAGACTAATTGAACAGGATTTCTGATGAATTAAGAACTCTCTTAACAATTTGACCTACCCATAAATGGAATGAACTGCCTCTACAAACTAGTGAGCACAGCATTTCTGGAGCCATTCAGTTAAGAGCTGGATGGACGGATTCTCTAAGTGGAAGCTAAGACAAGATTATTTGTAAAAATATTTCCAAAGTCCTGCAAGCCGCTGAAGAATGTGGCTTAAATGTATTTTTTATATCATATCCTAATAAATTTATTACCTGCTGTGTATTTATATTACTGTGTTAGGAATTTTAAAAGAGTTAAAGGACTTGTTGCTTGTATCTAATTTTAATAAAGTGATGATACTTTTCACTCATGCAGCACTTTTCATCCAAGGATTTCAAAGTGCTTTACAAATATGCACTAATTAAGCCTCACAAACAGCCAGAGGTAGGTAATTTTCTTCCCTCCCTACAAGAATGTCAGCTCTGGCAAAGAAATGTAATAAATGCCTGAGAATCTGGGGTGCCTTACTGGCTGCCATTTTCTGGAATGCGCTGCATGTGAAGTGTCACTTGTCATCGCCAGAATTCTTTTGTTCTACTCTGAATCATCTCATGAATGCTGTTAAGTTTTTAAAATATTAGAGAACATTCAGTTTTCTGTTTGCTGTGTGTCAGTTAAATTTGTAGATTTATAAAAAATAAAAAATAGATATGATTTTATATTGTTGGAATTTTAAAATAATTTTTCACTTTAGCTGATTTTTATTTTCCTTAGTAGATCTAGCTACCAAAAATCATTGTTTTGGGGACCTAGAATTTAACAGCATATTGATTTGTTGACCTAACCATCCCGAGGTATCTTTTCACAACAAATATTTTATTGGGACCAGAAAATATACTACATCTGGGTAATTCAAAGATCTAAAATATGTTATGTGAATGAACATTAGGGATAAAAATACTAAATATCTAGTCCTCTTATTTTAAAAAAAAAAGGATCACATACTAATGTAGGATATAAAACTTATGTGGGTTTGGAGTGGCAAGAAGAGAATGTGTACAAACAGAAACACACGCAATGCAAAATGGTGTTCAGTCCCAATATAAATATCCAAATACACATACTTATCTGAAGCAAAATGATCACATAGAGCAAAGCTCACAGATTTAATTCCTTACCTTTGGTTCATGGCATCTCTTAATCAAAGCCAAGTCTTTTTAGATTAGGAAAGCGCTATTTTTGTTGACATTGCCTTTTCGTTTTTTTCTCAGTACTAGAGATTGAACACAGAACTTTCATTCTTCTTTAATCCATTTAAAAATTTATAGAAAAAAGGAAAAGAAAAAAAGAAAAGAAAGAAAAAGATATTCATGCTAAGTTGCTCAGTCTAGACCCAAACTTGCAATCCTCTTGTCTCAGCCTCCCACATAGTATTTTAGGTGTGCACCACCATGCCCTGTTAACTCTACCTTTTTATATTCTTGTTTGCTGCTCCTTCCAAAAGAATTTGCATAAAGAACCTGTCCCCTTCTATTTAAAGAAAACTCTTAGATTTGAACCCTATTTTGATTCAGCAAGGCTGCATCCTTATCCCAAGGGAGGAGGTAGCATAATGTCCACACGTTCCAAAAGAATATGTTTAAGCATTCTCGAATACCCAGTTTCTTATTATAAAGACCCAAATAAGATTAAAGAAAAGTATTGGTTTTTTTGGTTTTGTTTTGTTGTTTGGTTTGTTTGGTTTTTGTTTTTGGTGGAACCAGGGATTGAACTCAGGCCCTTGCACTTGCCAGGGAAGTGCTTATTCCACTGAACCATCTCTCTAGCCCCAGAAAAGTATTGTTTTAGAGTGCAGCTAAACACTTAATTTACACATATGGTTGATCTTTCATAATGCAAAAGGACCTACCATCTATCCATTTACCATCCAAACTAGATGATGTCTGAACTATTCTTCAAAGTAGCAAATTTGTCAGTGATTTATGATGGATAGATTAAAAGAAAACGTGCTATAAAAGTGAGTTCCAGTTTTTCTCCTTTAAAAATTTTTCCCAATTTCAAAAAGTTAGATAATGTCCTGTGTTCTGTAATCAGGTGACCTGTTGACTTCATAAGTGGAACTATCATAGCAGCCTGAAATTATAACATTCAAGACCTGAGAGTTGCAGCTTTGAATATTCAGATTCATTAGTGTTTAAGGTTTAGTCATAAGATTTTTATCAGCAATGTCTGTGACACTTAAAAACAAACAAAAAAAGCACTGTCAACTTATAATGAAATATATAGCTATCTGGTAGATCAGGTAATAAAAATGTATTCTTTACTCTGTTGGTAAACAGTAAAACATAAAACATTTGTCAAGTTGGGTGTGGTGGCACCTGCCTATAATCCCAGCACTCTAGAGGCTAAGGCAAGAAGATGACAAATTCAAGCCCAGCCTGGGTAATTTATAAGCTTAGTGAAGCCCCGTCTCAACATTAAAAATGTTAAAAGGAATGAGTTTTTAGCTCAGTGTAGAGGACCCTGGGTTCAGTCCTTAGTACCAAGGGAGTAGGATGAAAGTTTGCCTTTTAGTTATAGAAATAAAAACCGTTATCCAATGTAATTATCCAATGTTATGTCCAGTAGAATGGCCAGTCTCTGAGCATCGTTAAATCCTCTTCCTCACTGAGAACAAGCCTGCCAGAAAAGTCACCATGTCCCAAGAAACTGCTTAGTTTGTTACTGCCAACAGTGTAGCTGAGGAGCCAGCATGGCTGGTTCACTCTCTTCTGAGAATCATCTTTTAGGTGGAATACAGTAGGACTGATAAAAAATCTCCTATAAGGTATTCTGCTTTGACAGTGCTTTTGCATATTTCTTCACTGATCTGTGTACCTCGTATTTGCAAATTCTTGAAAGATCTAGAATGAGAATCGAGAAATCAGAGCAAGTGAGTTTCACCTAAGTCTTCAGTTTCAACCTCAGAGGAGGTCCTATAAGGCAGGTAATAAGTAGAAAGTTGAATAAAGAATGAGTTGAAATCCACAAGCTATATAATCAACCCTTATGTATTTGAGTTTGTTTAGATTCCTAAATACTTAGCCTTAGTGTGAAGGCTGCAGCCAACTTATCCTCTAATTTTATTTTGGGCGGGCGGGGAGAAGGGTCCACAGGGTGTTCAGGGTCTCAGTACTAGATCAGACTCATAGTGAGCCGCCTGTTTATAGCCTCCCAAGAGTTGGGATTACAGATGCATGCCACCACGCCCAGCCTCAATTGCAGTCTCAGCATGCCCCGGGGGCAGGGCCAGCTAGGCAGGCCCAGCGGTTGAACCCCCTGCCCCTGCACCTGCTTGCCGGTGCTTTAATCCGCTGAGCTATTTGGCTGGCCCTTCCTCTGATTTTAAACTGATACTGGTATATCCTATCAGTGCACAAGGGTTCATTGCTCCATTGCTATACTTTCAGAAACATTTTTAGGCTACCTCTAGAATAGTATTTCTTAGTATTTCAAAGTTTAATCTGTCTTCTCCTGATACCAAAATAGGAAAGGATGCTTACATTTTATCATTTCAAAATAAAATACAGACTTAAAATGTTTCAACAAACCTTAAGAAACTCTGGGTAGGTTTATTCTTTTTGTCAAGATCCCTAGAAGCTTGACAAATTCACACACACACACACACACACACACACACACACACACACACACCACTGCCTGTGCATCCATGTTTTCTCAGTACAAATAATAACCTGACATTTACAGTTCAAACATTCTATTCCGCTGAGAAGTTGATTCACATACTAGTACATCTTATATTGTTCTTTAGCTCAATCCTAATAAACATATACATTACTTTAAAACTTAAAATTCAAGAGTTTTTTTTCTACTTAATCTCACTTTGTGCGGGGAAATTAGTGCCAATGTGAATATACTTTTTAAATATAGAAAGATATTAAGACTTTTTCTGGTGAAAAAATCTGCATCCTGTAGAGTCTCAAACCTTAAATTATTTAAATATATTTACTTTACTCAAAGCTTACATTTCCACATTAGAGGTGGCTTCTTGGTTGAAAATCAAGCTCAGTAGCATTCACTGCATGAGCTATGCATGAGCACGTTAGAGCTGTCATACTTGCCTAGTAAAATGTTCTGTCGTTTTTCTAAGTATGGGATAATTTTTTGATTCTTAAAAAGTACTTTGGAAGACAGGTTTTTTTAAATTAATTTGTCAATAAACTCAATTTTTAAAGGATAATCAAAATGTATCAATGCATCAATTATCTTTATAACTTTTGAGTTTCCATGATTTCCACAAAATAAACTGAACTAGAATTTATAACATTTTTGGCAATGAGAAATCAGAAGGATTTGCAGATCAAACATGGCTATCAAATGTATCCTTCTCTAGAAATATATTATTGGTAATGGCTTAGATGCAAAATCTTTTCATAATTCTATCAGAGCATTTATTAAGTGAAACCTTTTTTATCTGATTCTTTCACTTTGTTTTGAATACTAACCTAATGACAGATTTCTGACACTTTTTTAACATTCATCTTATGAGAAGTATTTTATGCAAATTTTAATGAGTACATTAAGGAAGAAAAAAGGCTAATATTCCTCTAAATCACCATCCGTGCCAAAAAGGAGAATCATAGAGATATAAAATTCTGAGCTTCCTAGTAGATTTGTGATTTGAAGACAAATTATTGCCTTTAAAACAACTTACTGCTTTTTGTCTTTCAGCCTTGGAATGGATGGCTTTGGCCAACCAGTTGGTATCCTTGGACGACCTGCTACAGCTTATGGATTCCGCCCTGATGAACCTTACTACTATGGCTATGGGTCTCAGTAAAATCATCCCTTCCTATGTTTACCCTCAGAGTACAAGAAACTTTCGTGGTTTGGGGTAACTTTGACATTGGCACCGTGGCCTCACAATGCATGTTTATCCTATGATGGCTGTGTTTCTTAATTTTCTGTTTGCTCCAGACTGACGTTAGCCTCTTCTATTATCTGTTGAGTACAATTCATGCTGATGACATTGTTCACTGTCCAACTACATCTCAATGCTGAATACAGTTTTCCATGATACTCAGAAGTGAGCATTGAAAAGCTATTAGTCTAGAAAACCAACACAGTGTACATTGAGTAGCAGTTCTGACTTTGGGAAACAGGACAAGCTTCCATTTGGAAAATATGACCTTGAGATTCTTCTGTCTTTTGTTTTGTTTGGGTTTTTTGTTTTGTTTTACTGTTTGTTTCTTCTCTGTATCCCTTTTCAAAAATACACAAAGATCTTAAATGAGTATAGGTAACTCAGTGTCTTCACTTTTAAGTTATATTTTATAAACTTGGGACCAGTATAAGGTAAAAAGTTAATAAAGGTTGATTTTTCTCTGTATTCAAAAAGTAAAGAGACAAGACCTGAAACTTAGTATTATAATGAAGAAAAATGAACAGAATCTCATCTAGCAATCTGTAGCCCTTCTCTCTTTCCCCCTCCTGTTATTTATAAGTCTATAGTGTTAACTAACAGGAAAAAGATACTCAGAGTAGCTTTTAAAGTATTAAAGGAAATACAGTAATACCTCACTTCACAAATGCACAAGCATTTGGCAAGATTTTGCTTCCATTTCAAACTCTACATTGGATGACAACTGTGGGGATCTTCCCCGGAATCGTGAAACGAATTAAGTTTATGAACAAAGGTACCACTGTACTCTGATGACTTGCATAAGAAAAGAGGAATGCTGGTAGCCCCTAGAGAAACTTCTGACTAGTCAATTTATGGTTATAAACCTAGAACTAAGGAAATGATTATTATAATTCAGCTTGTCCAAGGTATCTTAAGAGTGTACTCTGATATAATGTAATTGTTTTATATATGATGTACATTTTGTTTGTCCACTTTCCTTGTAATCTGTTTTTAATATCTTGCAGTTGCTTCAATAAAAATAAATTGGAGTTCATTTCCGTGTACTTATTTTTTTATTTACCCTTAGAGACTCCTGGCTCTATTAGGATTTTTAATATATGCAGATATGCAGTGATCACAAAACTCAGTGATAAAGGGTGAAAAACTGCTAGGCTCAAGCAGTAGAAACATATAAATAGTTTATAACATATAAATAGTCTTGGTTTCATAACATGGTTATATACAATTGAGGTTAAAAAGTATGTTTCTGTCTACTAATTTTTAGGTAAATGTTATCTTATATAGAAGTTATATTTAAATTGGCTCACAGATAAGTAGACACTGATATTAGTCTAAATTCTTTTGGTTCTCATGGCTTAACAGAACAAAATTTTCATTAATTGGTAAAATAACAGCACAGATATGTTTAAGGTAGGTAAAATATGTTTTGCCTAGGTTCACTAATTAGGGTAATACTTTATGAAAATTTAAGATACAGTGTCCATTGCTTTTTTGTATTTCAAGTGAGCTTCAGAGTTTACTTTGACTATTAAATAAGTGAATTATGTTGGTCTGATATACTTGTTTTTAAATGAAAACAAATGCTTATAATGTGTATTTTAAATGTGTCTTAGATGGCTGATATGTATTTATAACACTGTGATATAAGAGCAAAGAATATCTGACCCTTAAATAAGTTTCAGAGGGCCAAAAAAAACAACTCAGCAACATAAGCACCTGCCTGGCAAGGAAGATCCTGAGTTCAATGCCCATTATACTTATAGCCCCATTTTATTTATAAATAATTAAATAAATAAGTAAGTTTCAGAGTAACTATTCAAGATGGATAAGAAGTATGTGAAACTAGAAACTTTCATCTTTAAATAATAGGTCTCAAAGTGATTGAAGATTGTATTTGTTCATCATTTTTAAAATTAAAATCCTGTCTGGTTAAGGTTTGTTATCAGTTGCTATGCAATCTAGTGTCATGAGTTACTAACTTCACAAAAGAGTAAATAAAAGACAGTTGTTGTGGAAAAAGAACATACACAGGACAGTTATATACATATACAGGAGAGTTAGGCTAGATATACAGCTAGTTTCTCTTAGTTCACTGAGAATAAAAGTTTGTACTAATATTGTTTAGACAAAATATGTCTGCATCTTGTCCTCCAAATAGCTATGAAGACAACAATATGCAATGTATTAATTATTGTAAATGTCCTACTAACCTGTATTGAAACTGTTTCATCACTATTCTTATTAAAATTAGTAAAAATTATAATAAAATTAAAAATAAAGTTTTATAAGAACAGCCATTACCAATTGGGATTTTTAAATCCTTTTTACTGTAAAGAGATAATAACTTGTTTATCTGGTCTATTAATGTTTGTTTATATGACCTAATGCTACTATTTTCAAAAATTATTATATTATTCAATAACCTATTGTCTACTCTTTGGTTAATTTAAGTACTTAAGAACATAGCTTTTTAAAAAATCATTGTATTTTTACAGAAAACCTTTGCAAGTTTCAAAAGCAAGGTTTTAGGGTTTTCTCTCCACAGGTGCATTGTGCATCATTTCTAGATGTACAGTATCTACATCTATCTACACACTTTGGGTTTCCAATATGAGTAATAGCATGACTTTTTTAAGTCTACTCTGTCTAAAAATTATGTTTTTCTTGTTAATTGATAATACATTGTAATAGTATATCTTTTGCATAAAGTAGTTCTAATTAGAAGCAGTTTATCCTAAAAAAAAATTTTTTTTAAAGAATTAAAAATGTAGCATTGGAAGTGCTGGGGAGATAGCAATCTAACTGCCTACTTGGCAAGCACAAGGACCAGGTTTGATCCCCAGTACTGCATGCTGTACTGGCCCCGGGAACCGCTGGCACGCAGTGCTGGCCACCAAACCCAGGTGTGGTGGTTCACGTCTGTAATCCCAGTGCTGGGGAGGCTGAGACAGAAGGATCACTATGAACCCAAGCTGCATAGCAGTGCCCTGTACCAAATAAATAAATAGCACTGGAATGTCTGTTTCAAACAGACATCTAATCTGTTTAAAACAATAAGGCTTAAGATATCCATTTTTATGGATTAAAGATCTAAACATTAAAGCAGAGACACTAAATCTCCTGGAAGAGAAAGTAGGTGGAACTCTTGAA